CTCCCAGAGGAGGAGGATTCTTATTTAGGTTGCACTTTGTACATAGTTTTTTAGTATGAGCACTGGCAGATTTCCTTTCTGCTGATGTGCTTTTAAAGATCTTCCAAGGGAAGGACTCAACCATGCATGACTGCTGTAAAAGCAAGGCATTTTGAGACATGAAAAGGAAAAAGATGGGTTGAAGAAAGGGTGGAACAGGACAGCTTGAAATCAGCAGAGCCTGTTTGACTAGAGGCAAGAGCTACAAGCAAATCTGATATAAGCAAGGTTTGTATGAGGAAGGAAGATGGTAAGTATAAAGAATTTGAGGATAATAAAGAAGAAAAAGTAATTTTTTAAATGAAGATATGGGCTAGCTGGGACTCTGTTTTGTAGACTTCATTTGTTTGCTGTGGCACTGACACAACCTTTTGTTTCAGTGAGGTTTATTGCAGAAACTATTGCATTTTTTTTTTTTCCTGAGAGTAGAGGTAAATGACCTCAGGCTTCATTATGAAGTAATGAACATTCTGTCAACATCTTCTAATGAATAAAACTGCTATATCTAAAAATCAAAAAGTTCCTATGATACGTAGTCCTTTGTCTGATAAAGCTAGATAAGGTGTAACTCATATGCAAAGGTAATGGAGAGCCCAACAAGTAGTGGAATGGAGAAAGAAAAGAAAGGAAAATAAATGAATCAATTAGCACCTTATGAATCGTCTTCGTTTCAGCAGACAGAGTATTTTTTTTTCAGAGTGTCTGATACGACGCTTTGTTTTGTTTCTAGGAGAAAAACAAAGTTGATAACACACTGATGTTCATAGTTGCTGATAAGCAGCACTGTACAGAGCCAAGACCATTCCAGTTTCTCAGTGCATGAGCTGCGTGTCTGTCGGTGGGTGGTGAGCAATTGCTTGTGCATTACATTTGATACACATTCATATATACATATATTTCTCATAATCATTGTCCTTTTTTTTTACTGTATGTTAGTAAATAGTTTTATTTCAGGAGTTCTACTTTGTTTATTTTTTTCCTTCTGATTCTTGTCCCTGTCCCACAGGAAGAGGGGGAGTGAGCAAACAACTGTGTGGTGCTGAGCCACCTGCAGGACTAAGTAGAAAAGTAGAGCAATATGAGCCTAAGATTAAAAACATAAGTATACTTCGATGTCATATGCTGTTGCAAATAAAAGATTCCTTCTGTGTTTCTGCAAATAGCACTAAAATTAAATAAGAAACCAGAACCTTGTAGGTAAATGCAACCCTAATAGGGCTTGAAAACTCAGAAGAAACTTTCAAAACTTCAGTCGTTCTCTTTAATATATTAATTACTGAGATTCTGGTACAGTTTTCTCAGGAGATGGTGGAATATTGTCCTCAAACTCAGTGGGGAAATACAGTGACATTTAACTTAAAATTACGATTGAAGTTATTTGTACGATAGGCTTCCTTTCTTGAGTAAAAAATACAACAATTTTGTAAAGAAAACAGTTATTGCAGCTCATATCATTTTAGGCAAATTACATTTTTAATAATTGGCAGATTCTTGTCATTTGTGGGCAATGCATGCTACATAGCAACTATATAGTAAAATATAGAAAATATAGTATATGATGAGTCAGGCGTTGCTCCCATTTGAAATCACAAGCAATGTTCCCATTGATCTGACTCTGAGAGGCAAACATCATTGCATGGAGGCTGAATCAAATAACAGTTCTTATGAACCTCACTTGAATAAAGAAGAAATTATTTCTGAGTACGCAGGAAGCAAGCAGGAGATCAGGTTATCCTGACCCTTATTTGCTCTTTCTGACATTCATTACAGTCATCTTTTTCTTAATGATTTGGCTTGTGCCGTGAGACTGATATGTGTTTCCCTGCATTCACCCTGGCTGTGGCAGGATTGAGGACTCCTTTCTGACCTCTAGAAACGGTGAGTGGCTGAGGACCAGGCAAGAGAAGCTGCTTCTACACATTTTTCAGGACAGTCATTTTCCTCATTGCCCTAAATGTTGCTATTACATAGTACAGCTAAAAAATGAAGGAGATTACAGATCTCCTAAATATGCCCTTTTCTTATATAATGCTTCTTCTGGGCTCATGGGTGGTCTTTGACCTTGACTAAATGATTGTTTAATAATGCATGGAGTTTTAGCCTGACTAACTAGGGAATTATTGCCTTCTCTTTTCAATTCTATGAGAAAAAAAACCCAGTCTGTATTAAAGTTTGTAAAAGATAAGACTACTTAGAGAAAAGTTTGCAGGTTTGGTGTATGATGACACTTCGTATTCTAAAGAGCTAGCAATAAAATTTTCTCTGAGGTTTGTTGAATCCATTCTCTAAACTCCAGTGATATGTGAGACCAAGCCCGGTGGAACAAGCCTTCAGTTCCATACTGGATTTAAGAGTGTGAATAAAGAATTTTTTATTTGGACTAAGCAATCCAAACTACAGAAAATTATTGCAAGCTTTCTTTGAATTATTCCTCACGGATCTTATTTGTATATTCATGTTGCGCATATGGAAGATTTGTTTCTCTTTCATTATTTTGTTAACAGAAAGGCAGATTAGCAATTGTTGATGTTATTTGTATTCTGCTCAACTTGCAGTCTTCTGCCAATTGTACACAGGTGTAGGGGCTCATGGTCAGACTGGGGCTATAGTGGGGCCCGAGAGGTTTGCTCACAGTGAGTAGGAACATCCAGATTTATATTTTTCACTTAGATTTATATTTTTCATTTATATTAACATGCATGGAAGTCACACTCTCACCAAAAGGAAAATTTCCATTCAGACAGACTGAAGAAATTATCAGCTGAAATGGCACAGGTACACACACAAAGTATGACTTTACTGGATTAATGGATCAATTAATGGATCAGGCATTTGACACTATGTGGTATAGTGAGACAAGTTATGGCCTGGGTGGACCCAAGGGTACATGAAGGTTATAAGAGCAGCAGTGAGTCACTGGTAAAGGAAGTTGTTGACTGAGCACTGAGAATAATGCTTTTTAATTCACAATCTAATAACATAAAGCAAGCAGAGGTTTGCATACTGAGCCATCCAGTAGGCTGGCAGGGAAGCAATGCCTCGTGCACATCATGAGATATTTAACAACTGCTTGAGAGAGATAATATTTCATGGGGACTTTTGGAAGCAATTTTTTTTCAGTGTCTGGCCCTGATGGCTGCTCCTGCTCATGATTCTCTCTTGTTTTGGATCTAAAACACTTGTATATAAGTGGAGCTGCTGCTCCAGCCTTATAATTGAAGGAAGGATCCTAAAAATTGCTGCAATAAGCTACATTCTCTGGATGGTACAGAGACAAGCCATGACACAAGTATTCCTCTTAGCCGGCTGTGCACATCACAGATGTGACACGGGTTGTTCCCACTGAGCGTGTGGCACACCAACCCACTCTCTTTGGAGATATCTCCCCATTCATTGCCGAGGAAAAACTGTTGCTCTCGCTCAAAATCACATCTGGCAGCAGTTATTTGACTATAGAATTTTCCTCTGTATAACATGAGGTCTGGGACCAGTCATTGCTCTGTACTAACGCTGATTTTGTGTGAGTCTGTGCGATATTTTTTTTTTCCAGTGGTAAAATTAAAAGGGTGAATGTTTTAAAATTGGTGCTATTTTAATCCCAAACAGTAATAAAAAGGAGCAGTGTTCCTGGTCATAGTCGTTCTAAAATGTAGACTTTTTGTCTAATTTCAGATGAACATAAAAGCTTGAAGTTTTGGAATTTTTCAGGAGCAGTGCAGTCCCTCTGCTTCAGCACTTCTGCCCCCTCTCAGAAGGAGCAGTGCTAACCTACCAGAGTTCCCATACTGTAAAGTAAAGGTCTTTTCATAATGTAATTACTGGACCTTTAAATGCGTGTAGAATGAAAATGCTGGTTATCCAAATATTTTAGAGAAAGATAGACAGAGTCATAAAATTTTGGAAGGGAAACACATTTACCATGATTAGATTTAATAATATGTTCAGCAGTATTCCATAATATTGTATTTCTCCAGTAACATTCCTTATTATAAAAGATAATAGATTGAGAGCCATGTAAAATATCACTGCCCAGTCAACTTAAGAAAATAAGGAATAATTTGAAAAACTCATTGCCTATTCTAAGGTTCTTGACTTATATGGTTCTTGACATCACAGAAGAAAGCCGCCAGTACCAGAGTTTGAACTTGAAAATGTGACACTGTTATTTCATTTGTGGTGTTTATATAGAATAATAGGGGTGTCAAATAACCCAGAGAAACTTCCCTCTCCCCAAATAAAGAGCTTTTCTTTGGGAATAGGTAGGCACAGGCCGTCATCTTGCAAACACTCACACTTGTGTTTAATACAACAACTGTGAAGAGTCCTCATGATTTTATTGGGACCACACACAGAAGAAAAAATAGCATAAATTAAAAAAAACACAGATTCATAACAAAGAATCTAGACTATCTGGACAGATCCCATAAAACTAGATAGTTGACTTCAACTAGCAGACTAAATTTCACAAAGTACGAGGAAAGCTGACATTCCATTCTATAAGATATTTCAAGCTGTCAAAAACTTGGCATTGTTCCAAATGGAGTCAAACTCTCAAAGACTTCAACTTTCTAAGACCAAAAAATCTTTTGAATGTTGGCATTTCTTCTTATTGTTTAAAAAACATCAGCTATAAAAATTAAAAATTACATCACTTTGTTTGAAATAAGATATTGCAACTCTGCAAATTTTCCCCTTTTTCACCAGAGAATTGCATATTAATCTAAATTTCCTACAGTAATTACTCAGACTTGCTGTGTGTACTGTACCAAATAACCATAAACAACCGATAGGAAAGATGGGTGTAAAAGACTAAAGAGAGATTGAAGCTCAAGTTTTCAGTGAGAATGAACACACCATCCAGCGGAACATAAGCAATAGGTGCCCAAAGGCTAGATTTTAGATACAGGCATAAAAGATGGTAGTTAATTATCATAAAACAGAATTTGAATTGTCTTGCTCAGGTTGGGACATCCACTGAATCCAGTATTCTTGGTACTGAAGAGCCTTGGACCCACCTAACACGGCTATAGACTTTGGGGTCTGGCACTCATTGGGATATCTGTGAAAATCATTCCACTGCACAGGAAAGGTAAGTTCAGAAGAACCTGTCTCACTTCCAAAATAACTTGGGTACTTGGAGACTCCATTTCCAAAGGGGCCCTATCTAGGGCCAGCAGCCTGTTTCTTTTAAAATCAAAAGCAAATAACTGTCTGCACATCACTGTCAAAATCTCTTCTAGTTTCACTTCTGCTGTAGAGAACCATTTAAATCTTTGCAGTTGTACTTTGGTCCATGCAACACATCACCAAATATTTCTTATTTTCCTTGATGAATAGGCACACTCAGGCTGTTTTCAACTTCATACATGTTTTCTGGCATTTTGCATCTGCAGGAGAATGGCCTGGTTAGAGAACGCAGCCTTGGAGAGTGTGTCGCATCCAACCTTGTTTCAGCTTCAGGTGCCCTAATTCTCAGGAATATGTTCTGCTTGAAAAGTTAGGAAGTGTTTTTTCTTCAACTTCTTGCTTCATTTAATTTCTTACTTTTCTTTCTTTACCCTAAATTGAAGACTACTTAGTTAACAGATGGTGTGACAGCATCAGTGGACAAGGGAAAGGCAACTGATGTCATCTGCCTGGACTTGAGCAAGGCCTTTGACATGGTCCCCCACCACATCCTTATCTCCAAGTTGGAGAGGTGTGGATTTGATGGGTGGACCACTTGATGGATAAGAAATTGGTTGAAAGGCTGCAGATAGAGGGTGGTCATCAATGGTTCTATGTCCAGGTGGAGGCCGGTAGTGAGCAGCATCCCCCAGGGGTCTGTCTTGGGACCAGTGCTCTTTAACATCATTATCAATGACATCAGTGACAGAATTGAGTGCACCCTCAGCAAGTTTGCTGATGACACCAAGCTGAGTGGTGCAATTGACATGGTGGAAGGAAGGAATGCCATTCAGAGAGGCCATTCAACAGGCTTGAAGGGTGGGCCCGGGTGAACCTGGTGAGGTTCAACACAGCAAAGTGCAAGGTTTTGCAGTTGGGCCAGAGGAATCCCATGCATCTATACAGATGGAAGGAGCGGTCCTTGAGAGCAGCCCTGCAGAGAAGGACCTGGGGGTCCTGATGGATGAAAAGCTTAACCTGAGCCAGCAGTGTGCTCTTGCAGCTCAGAAAGTGAATGGTATCCTGGGCTCCATCAGTAGAGGGGTGGCCAGCAGGGACAGGGAGGTGATTGTCCCCCTCTACTCCGCTCTTGTGAGCTTCCCATCTGGAGTACTGTGTCCAGGTCTGGAGTCCCCAGTAGAAGAAAAACAGAGAACTGTTGGAGAGGGTCCAGAGGAGAGCCACAAAAAAGATCAGGGCCACCTCCCCTACAAAGACAGGCTGAGGGAGCTGGGCTTGTTCAGCCTGGAAAAAAGAAGGCTGTGGAGTGAACTCATTGCAGCCTTTCGATACCTAAAGGGAGCCTACAAACAGGAGGGGAATCAACTCCTTGAAAGGGTAGATAACAGCAGAACAAGGGGAAATGGTTTTAAGTTGAGGGAGGGAAAATTTAGGTTGGATGTCAGGGGGAAGTTCTTTATAGAGAGTGGTGAGGTGCTGGAACAGGCTGCCCAGAGAGGTTGTGGATGCCCCATCACCGGAGGTGTTCAAGTGCAGATTGGATGGGGCTCTGAGCAGCCTGGTCTAGTATTAAATGTGGAGGTTGGTGGCCCTGCATGTGTCAGGGGGGTTGGAGATTCATGATCCTTGAGGTCCCTTCCAACCCTGGCCATTCTGTCATTCTGTGATTCTGTGAACACAAAGTGAAAGATCTGAGGAACTGAGAAGCATTGTCCCCATATACAAGAAAGCAGATGCATAGAAAAGGTTGGTCTCAGATTCAATTATATAAGGAGGGCTATGCACGTGAATGTTTGAAATGAATGTCCTAATCATAATAATTTAAGGATATGATTGCTGCTATCTTTCCCTTTCTTCCCTTTTTTTTTTTTTTTTTTTTTTTTTTTTCCTGTGATAGGCTTCCTTTCCTAGCTTGGCAAAGTCCATGGCTTGTGAATTAAAACTAAACCATAAAATGTCCTCTGAATCTGCACTGTGGAATTTTTCTCTTCTGCATGGTTGCTAATTTACTGGGGATGTGCTTCTGTTCTGCACTAATCTAAAATTTATTCAAAGAAACTGCACAAGTCAAGCATCCATTCTAGGTTTGTGAAGGACAAGAAGTCTGAACATACAATACTAGGTATAACTTCCAGTACTGACAAATCTATAGCCAAAAATGATTGCAGCAAGCAGTGGAATGCATCATCGTATTCCTGCTCCGGTCTTCTGTTACTCTTGTGCTGGCAGTAATGGCTTCCAGGCCTCCTGTGGCCTCCAGGGCCACCAACAGCTGGGAGAGAGCAGTGGGAACTCTGACTCTCAGAATAGAAATTCTCCAAAACAACTTGTGAATCTTGTCCCAGGAGCCCAAAGCTCTCTGGAAATCAGTTATGTTGGCTCCTAAATCTCTCAGAGGCTTTTGAAAATATTCTTAAATCACAAGATGTGAGATTCTGTAAGGATTTGACTGTTAAGTTAACATCTGCTGTACAGTAAAGGCTAAAGCAGATGTGGGAAGTGGGAGGGTAATTGAATAAGGCTGTTTTGAAAGGGTTTGAAAACAAGTGAAGAGGTCTGCAGTTTTCAGTGCCTAATGTTTGTATTCTACTGCTGAGACACCTTCCCAAGTAAACTTGTTTTATCCAATTCCAAAGGTAATCATCTCTTCAAATATGGTCTGCCTAGCATTTGCTTTTGTCAATACTTTTACTGTTTGTTAATCTCTGAGGAAAAAAAAAACAACAAAAAACAAAAAACCCAAAACTTTAATAACTGGAATATCACAGTTGTGGAAAAGCAATTCACAGTAGCTATTTTCTCATGTGGAACAAAAATTCCATAAAAAAACAGATAGGATGGATCTTTTCTTTTACAACTGCTCCTTTAATAAACTGTTTAAACCATGTTTTTTGTCCCCCTCAGGCTTGTTGTTTGTTTGAAGCAGGATGATGGGGCACTTCTACTGTTTGGAAAGTCACTGAAGTTGGTGCTCCAGAACAGAGCTACCCATTCTTCTTCTGAGAGCTAATTGATTTGCCTCAGCTACAGACATGTACTGAGGGTCTCGAAAGTGAAGACTTTGTTTTTCTTTTTGAATGACTGGGGCTGTCTGTATTAGACAAATGTCCAGGTGGTCTCAAATTATTTACAACTGCAGGAACCTCTGTGGTCACAGGATTATCTGCATGGGGAAACACATTTGAAAGTCAATATTTCCCTTCTCGGAAAACAGGACAACCTTTGTTAGTGCATGTTCTCATTTGGAAAACTTTAATAGTAAGCTAAGAGAACCTACATATATAGATCTCACTTTCCAATCTCTTGTGAGTACTGATTTCCTTTAAAAGATCATAAAAATGTAAAAAGTAGAAATAAAAAAGAAAGAAGGTTCTTGGATGTATTCCATACTTTTATTAATTTTCTGTTATGTGCATCTACCCAGTAAGGGGAATTGAATACTATATATTCTGATCAGCCTACTCCTTGAAGGTCAGCTCAAAGGTCAGTTCAAGCGTTGGACTTAATTTGCAAAAGTGTGAGCTGTGTATTTATAAATACACTATAAGGACTTTTCAGCAACACTTACCTCTTCTAATCCTCTGCTGAGGGGAAGCACAACATTTTAAAGAACACTTTCTGCCTAAGAGCATCCATCCTCGAGCAAAGTCGCTCTCATCCAGGTCCCTGTCTTCCTGCCATTCCTGGTTTTTTTTTTTTTTTTTTTTTTTTTTTGATGCTGCCTTCATTTTCACAACAAAATTGGAGTTTTAGCCCATAGCAGTCAGTATAATTGACTTTTTCAGTTTTAGCAATCATTTCTTTCTGGAGTGTCTTCGGGGTTATTCTTAGGTCTACCTTTTAGGCTACTGGCAGCTGTTCAGCCTGGCAGACAGATGAATGTTTTAAGAGGAAATCTGACAGTCTGAATATATCTCCTACAGCACTGGTGCCAAGAGAGTCACTACTTTAAATGCCTATAGAAATGTGTATATACACATTTATAAAATATGGTAGCCAGGTTATAGACTTGCTTTAGTTTTTAATTTTGCAGTTTGTTTTTTTTTGAATCACAGAGTAATATAATTTAGGAATGGAAAAATTGTATTAGGTCATTTAATCTATCTCACTGCCAAAGTGGGATTGTTCCCTGCAGTATATTTTCCAAAGTTTTATCCAGTACTTTTCCATTCTTAGGTCTGGGATTACACTTCAGTTTTAAATTGTTAGCTTAAATTTTGACATGTTAAGGATTTTTCTTTGGAACTGACTGAATTCTGTTTCTACCATGTGGTGATGACAACAATGATTTTTTCAGTTGTATGAGAAGCTAACTGAAGCTATTAAGCTATGGATTTATTAGGGAAGATTTCTTCTCTCATCTAACCATGAGAGAGATTGTATATTTATCCTTCAATGGGTAGAGTTGGGGGCTATATTTTTGAATTGCTAACAGCATATGTGTTGTTTGTTTGCTATTTTATTCTCTCTAGCATGAGTTTCTTCTCTTCCTCTGGCTATGAGTAACACATGAAGTGAATGTTTCCTTGGGTCTCTCTTTCACTGATTAATGTTTCTTAGTCACTCACCTCCTAAACAGCACTTCAGTAATATCAGTCAATAATATATGATGAACAGGCAAAGGTTTTCTATTTCAACTTACAGCAAATATTAAGCTTTTAAAAAATATTTATTTATTTATTTATTTATTTATTTATTTACAACAATAAGGGTGAAACAGTTTCAAGGGAGGTCCCAGGCTAGTAACAATAAAGTTCATTTTTAGAAATTACTAAAACAGAGATAATTGCTACAAGTCAGATCCAAGCGTGGCACCCTTAGAAGCAAACTCAGGCTGTATTGCTGCTGTGCTGCCTGTGCTTTGTGCACCAAATTCAGTGGTATTTATCCCTGCTGCTGCTCGTGGTTCTGGACCAGAGTGGAGCTAGGTTCAGGAGACTGAACACTGCAATGCATCACTGT